ACGGTGTGGATGGCATGCCTACTTGCAGCAGGTTCTGCAGGCATCCCTTTTGCAAGTGGTGCAACTTGCGCAAGCGTATTGAAAGGCGCCAGTGTCCCAGTCTTCAGCCACATGTGAATGTTCCCCTCCTTGAGCCATCCAGAAACCCTAGGTCGTCCCCGCGGGGATGCCGGATGCCAGGGCCACTGGTGTCACTCTCATCCCGTCGGATCCGCCAGTTGCTGCCGAAGACCCGCTCCCTCTGGTGCAGCGTCAAACCATTCTGTCGCATCTGTAACGGTCAGGCTGGCACGCTTTGTTGCGTTGCACCGAGTTGCAGCAAGAGTTGCAACATCACCGTCCATCGTGCAGACAATGGTGCATGGACCATGCTGCTCTCAAACGCCATATGACACAACAGCATTCTGAATGGGCGCAACACTTTTCCCAACGCATGCCACACCTTATCCCCTTTCGCAGGAACATGGTCTTCCCATGCCGGTACTGTGGCCTCTCGGCGGTCAACCCTCTTTGCCGGTTGTCCTCTTGCATTTCGGATGTCTCGGTACGTCCTTCTCGCAGCCCTCGTCTTCTGTCCCAGCTGTACAGACCGGCACACACATCCGAAGGACTGACGCTCCTGAGGCGACATCTCCATACTGGACGTCATGGCGGTCGCAGTGATAAAGTAACCCTATGAAGCAGCTAACTTGTATGATTAGGCAGTAGGCGAAGGAAAGGGCAAAGGCAAGAGCGGCAAAGGGGGGGGGCATCGTGGCGTACCTCAAACGATTGGAGCTCGATGGAATTGAACTCGGAAGGGCCCCAAGCTGTAGCCGTTCACAGGAAGCGGATCTTCAGTACATGGTGACCAAGCTATCGCAGTTGGCGATCAAGCACGAGTACGTGCTGAACAGCCTCGAAAGGGACACCTCCTTGTACCTGTTTGGGAAGCCGGGCTCGGAGGGCTTGATTCCAATTCTGTTCGCGACGTCAGAGAAGTGGCACAAGACCCAACAGGAAACGCCGCATCTCGTGGATGCCTCGCTCCGAGTGGTTCTCTTCCAGGCCCTTCTGATCGAGCTGGGGAATCGTCTGCTGACAGCATCTAACAGCGAGGAGACCATGCAAAGTGCCAAAGAGTTGGGGTGGGACCCGATGGAGGAGAAGCTCAAGGAGGTTCCCCATGCACCCACCAAGTCCACCAAGCGATTTGGTGGCCGATGTGACCGAGCTTCGCAAGCTCAAAGATGCGGAGTCGATCTTTCGATTTCAGTCCATCCATGGCCTGAAGAAGGATTACCAGACGCCGTGGGTACAACTGGCCCTGGAAATATCGTTGAGGGTGCACGAGGCTCGAATATGGGAGATTCTTCAGGGGTGGATCGGCTCAGCAGCTTGGCACACCCTTGGAGCGCGGAGGTCTATCGCCACAAGCTCAAGTGCTCAGGTGGTGATGGCAGGCAAGACAACGAAACCACCCGCTCTTGATCAATTTTGCTGGGTAGATGACGTTGCAGGTCTCTCTGCCGTCATGCAATGCTTACTTTGGCCAGTGTGGTGTGATCCTCACAGATGTCATATGAGTTCTGCACCATGCCGGAACTTGTGGGGAACTTGGGTTCGCAAATCCTTTGCCTAGATGACTCTTCGCCGTGACATGCAGTGGACAGCTCTGGCACGCAGGTGGGCGAGCCAGTCACACATGTCGCTAACCTCATCCAACTCCTTCGTGACATACTCGTGGCTTTTCCTAGTTCTGCACATTCGGGTGCTTAGGATACACATCCAGCACTCGTGCAAGGGCAGGGCACCATGCCACCCTGCAGGCATCCGTGTACATGTGTGTTCGCTTTCCGATCTCAAGCAGACACGATACTGTGCGGCGTTTGTGGATGAATTGGGACAGCAGTCCAGCAGGCAGCACATTACACGTGCCCCAGAAACCATATTCCTTGAATTGATACACTTTACGGACTTGGAGGCCATCATTCATGTGCCCATCCGTGCTGGAAGCACTGCACCATATTTCACTGCTGCATACCAGATCAGGTCAGCCGTGATTGCCAAGTCTGCAGACGACACATCTGATCGCGAGGGGAGCCTGTGTGCTGTGCATCGAGAAATGCAGACCTCATGCACTCTTGAAGCCTTTCAGCCACACGTGCCCACAACACGGAGCATCAAACTCCTTGTAATCCGGTCCACTTGCCAGGAAAGCCATTCCTGAAGGTAGCATTTACACCGTAGTTCAATTTCCTTGCATACGTCGCGGCTTTAAGGTCACGACGTGGTGACCCATGAGGGCACCGGCATAAGTCCGTGTTTCTCGCTAGGTGGACAAGACTCTATTGCGTGCTGAAGCAATACTGCTACTACTACCACCTACCACCACCACTGCCCACTGCTCTTGTTGTTGTTGTTGGTGTGACTTCAATTCCATCCGTGAGGTGAAGCTGGTTGTTTGGTCCTTGATTCCTGCGGTCACGCTGTCCTGTGGCTCCTTAGGCACGGGGAGGGCAGCTGCGGAAGGGTTTCCATGGTTTCTGCAAGCTTGGCTCCAGGTTTTTGGAGCTGGCAGCGGAATGTTCGCGGTCGTGGCAAGGACTGTTTTTGAAAACCGGGATGTGTTGCGGAGGCCGGTGCTTCGTGAACGTTGTTGTGCTGCCGGTCGTCCTCGTAGCTTTTTCTTTTGCAATGGCCCGTTTCGGAGGAGACACAGATCGGGACCCTGGTGGGCATCGGCCACCTTCCTAGACCTGGCCAGTCTAAATTTTAAGTCTGAACAGAGTTCCTATGGGACGAGGCATGTCCTTCCTCAGTGTGGGCTACGATTGGTTCTTCAGCTGGACACTCTGGAGGAAAGCGAGGGGCCTTTCTCTCTTTTGACAGTGTTGCCTGTCTGTTTTTTTTCCCCAAAGTCGTGTTAATCTTCCTTTGTGGTGGTTGAGTAGTCGTGTCCGTTGCGGCCACAGCATGTGGGTGGGTGCTGGCCCACTTTTCGGACTATGTCCACCCAGCCGAACCACGAACGAATGACGTGATGTCCGCTTGAGTTGATGCAGAACTTGCCGCCCGACGTGGCTCAGGATGCAAGCACACGACATGACTGGAACAGCCAGCTTGCGTACTCCACAGCCGAGGTGCTCCCCAAGCAATCCCAAGCTCAGAGAACAAAGTCCACGAAGCACTCGTGTGCCCTCGGGCCACAACCAGGACCCACCCCCCTGTTAGCTGCACCTTGCCTTTTTCTCTTGACTGCGATCGGCCTGGCAAAGTCTCGCCAGCCCTTCCTGGTCGGCTTGGCGCCCAGCTGTAAAATTAGCTTCGGCGACTCACACTGGCAGCAGTTTCCTTTCCGACTCCATGCTGTCAGCCGAGTTGTGGGCACTGAGGCGCAGATGCGCTGACGCGGTGAAGGGGGGCGGAAGGTGGGAAAGGCAGAACCTTCAAAGCTGCCTGCCTCTTGCTTTGATTGAACGCCAAGGCCAGGAAACGAGGGCCCAAGAAGGGCCCCCAGCAAGGCCGGTTCTTTGCAATTCGGGGTGGCAGTCCTTTTACTGATGTGGGCTTGACGGAGGTCTTCTGCCTAGGTGCCAATGCGTGCGACCGCGTTTGGGGTTCCTTGGACGGCACCGTCAGAACGGACATGTGACGATCGGACTGAAGCCATAGCTGACTTTGGGCAAGCAAGCGGGTTATCATTGCCTGTTGCACTTCTTGATTCAACCACTCGCCTGCGGTGGGTCTAACTGCTGCTTTTTCGGCAACAAGACCCCTATCCAGCACAAGCTCAGAACTGTCACGAACAAAGCTGCTAGAGAGTGCATACATGCTGCTTCAAGCATGTAAGAGCTGTCGATGCATGTCTCCGAGCAATCGTTTTCGGGTGTGCGGTGTCACACTTCACTTCGCCGGCAAGCACGTGGTCTCGTATTTGTATTGTAGGTTGTTGGAAGCCTGCCCATTTCAATGGCAAACCCGGGGGGTGGTGCCCGGTGGCCCTTGCAGCTCACTGCTTCGAAGATGCTTGGCAATTTGAAGGCGGTTCGACTGCAAGCACTTTGCCGCATTGCTTTCATGCTAAGTAGAACAGGCGTAGTGCGAGGGATGCAGCTCGTCCCGGGCTCCTCTGCAGAGCAGAGCTGGCTTGGCCTGGTGGGCTAGCCGTGGCTAGCCGCCATGCTGCGTGCTAAGTTCATTGAACTGCAGGAACTTCACTGCCCGCCTGCCCGCTCGCAGTTTCTGAAGGTATTTTCTTCCGCATCTTGTCAGCTGAGCTGTATTTGTTGGAGAACATGCCGCACAACAAAGAAAGCGCTATCACTCTTATGTCAGTTCGACATACGCAGTTTGGTTGATTGATTCACTGCGTAAGCTGAACTTCTGTTTTTTGAATATAAGGGAACAGACCGGGACGCACCATACCTCCCCGCAAATTTGTCATGGGCATTTTCTCTATTCGGTTCTATCGCCATCTCGGGATGCTCGAGATCGGTGCTTCATACCGCCAAGTCATGTCCAGACTTTGTATGCGGGTGGGCAACTGTTTCGGCGTGCTTCGCCTGCGATGCCAAACCTCGGTGCTCAGCTGCGTGTCTAGCTTCCACGATCTTTGTGCTACACTCCCTCGGTCCCCTGAAAAAGGGCCCTATTTGTTTCCCTTGATGTTGAGGTTCGCCGTGCCAAGAAGCGGAAAACTGGCCAAGTTCGTGGAAGCGTTTTAAATCCAAAGAATGAGAACAGCAGTGGAGGTCTCAGCGGGCGCCCTTGGGGAGACGGCGGTAGCGGTTCCACATGGTTCCACGCTTCCCCCAAGTCCTTTCGAGCCGGAGCTGAGTGAAAGGTGGCAGACCGCAGGGCGAGTTCGGGCTCCTGGAGGCGCGCGAGGGCGCTTTTTCTTGACTGCTCTTCTATCCTCGTTGAAGCGAGGCTGAGTTCGGCTTGCTGCTGCGACAAGCCGAAGATGGTGAGACCCCGAGGATCTCCGGAGTGAGTGGTGGCGCTGCCTGTGCACCGAGGCCCGGGAGGCCCGGCTACCGGGACGACCGGGGGTGCAGGCTGGGCAGGCTCATGCAGGCTCGGCTTGCCCGTTCTCGGCTCTTTGAGCGTCGAGGAGTCGCAACCCGATCAGAGGAGCCTGGATCAGACAGGCTCATTCTTCGGGGGTCAACTTGGCTTCTCTGTTCCGAGCTGTGAGACAAGGTTTCGATCGAGAGACGAAGACGATGAGGAGCGGGAAGCTCAAGAAGTCGATGGCGAACTTGGGGGGCACTCGTACTTGGGCGTGGGCTTGGTGGACTTAAATCACGAGAGCTCTCGGCGAGTCCGAGGCCCGGGAGGCCCCAGCGCTGTTCACGGCGTGTGGTGGACCCCCAGCATCCTGGCAAAGCCGGGCACCGAAGGAGAGGATGCCTAGGCCTAGGCCATGCGGCGTCGATGTTTCCACTGTACCATGTACCCCGTCTCGTCACGCTCAGGCCGTTTGGGATGTCGGCATTTCCATTATGATCGTGTACTCGGCCACCCTGGCACTTCTTCGGAGCCACAAGTGATCCTTCACATTCGTTTCTTGAGCCTGCAGCGTTGCATAATCATGCAGAGCTGCGGCAGCTGCGAGACACACGACGTCTCACATGCCGCAACAGGTCCTGGTGGAGCCGTTCCGGATTGGCTTCGGTGTGGAAGTGTCGGGTGCAATGCTCGCAGGGACCCCGGGCTTTGGCCCACTTCGTCTGCAGCCGAAAGTGGCTGCGTGTCGGAGCTTGGTCCGGTCAGGCCATAGACATCTTTGTGGATTGCCTCTTCGTGATAGACATTGCGAGCTCCTCAGCTTGTCCACGTCAAGTCATCAAGTCTCTCCCTCGGCGGCAGTCGTCTTGAAGTCAAGCTGCAAGTTGTGCGAGACAGCAGCAGTTAGGCACCTGCCTCTTTTTGATCAAGGTGTTGACTTTCTTCACTGCGTACCTCGACGAACGTGAGGCAAAATCGTGCTGCACTGTCATGACTGTGATGCGGATGTGGTTCAGTCATCCATCGAATGCGTAACACTATGGCCACTGCTCTGTGCCCAGACCTTTCCACTGTTCGCAGGTGCTGGTGACAAATCGCCTGCGGATAGCGCAGCGATATTTGAGGGGTTTCTTCGTGATTGACGCACCTGAGCTGCACGGCAGTGCAGAGCTGCCATTCCCCGTTGTCAGACGTAGCATGAGATGCCGTGTCCATCTGCGATCCCGTTGCAGTCCTCCATAGACCCCTGTCAGCCTGTCAGTGCTCCGCATCCTGAAATGCTAACCACACCACACCACAACAGGCAGAGGGTAACAGCTGAATCTCGCCATGTGTGCCTGCGCGGCGGCGGAGGGGAGAGCTGCACTGGACCGTTCACAGTTCAGCGGACATAAAGCAACGATCGGTTTGATTCTGCTTAGCTTCGAACTTCACTGACATTGTGAAGATGTGCCTGATTGGGGTTCCAATCATACTGCAGACATACCTTTTTTGAACCCGCGGCCTCCACAGGGTTCTGCACATTCGTCATCATTCGTCGTTCTGTTGGAACTCGCAAGCTTCTCTATGGCTACTCAGGTAGCATCCGTTTTCCCGGCAGAGCTCTTCTTGCTGGCAATTCAGCATGGAGCTTGTTTTGACGCTTCGAGGGTAGTGCCTCAACCGAGGTGTAGTATCAGAAGTATCCGTCGACAATGCCCCTTCACGGGGCCCTTTAAGAGAAAGCGTTACGTTCTGCCATCCCTTCTTCTTGGGTTTTTCAGGCCGGACATCGCTACACAAGCACGTGCAGTGAAGCTGCTGAGGCCACGTGACATAGAAACGCACGAAGCAAGTTATTCGACTTCCGCCTCCCCTTGCTCTTGTCTTATCACATGCTTCGTCCATCGCCAGGCTTGTGAGACTTATGAAGCTGGGGAGGCTCTTCAAGCTGAAACGCCTGCCGTGCGCTCGGTTGAGCTCACAAGAGCTATTGGCCTCAGACTTGCAGTCCTGGGTGAACTTCAAAAGAGCATCTAGAGGGTTCAGCTCCCTGCTCTCCAAGGGTGCTCCTCGTAGAAGAGAAACTGAACTTCAGTCTGCAAGTGTGCGGCCCTTAGAGGGCGAGCTTGCTGTGTTTGTGCTCTGTGTGTGTGTGTGTGCGCGGGTTGGGTGCGCGCACATCTCGGCATGGTTTTTTGTAGTAATTTGATTGCAGGGGACCAGCGCGTGGTGTTGTGACATTGGCCAATTAAAGCTAGCAACAACATGGGATGAAGTTTAGGACTTTGGGATGCCGAACCTTGTACCTGTGTTTTCTTGTTTTGCTATCATGGCCAACGAGCCTGTCCCGCCCCAGCTTCTGGCACGGATCCAGCTCTACAGACGCTTGTGGGGCTAAGCCGAGAACTCTATTGCGCATCAGCGCCACCACATACCACGGGCGCAGCTGCATGATGATCCTGGCGGTTTTGTGTTAAACCCACGGGCATCTCTCTCTCACACACATTGGTGTTTCTTGACGGTGCTTTATGTCGCACCCAAATGTGCTGCAGCCAAGACAAGGAGTCTAGCTTGACTCCACTTTTGCCATGTATTTACAGTGTCGAAGGCGACGTGCACAGGACCAGGATGTGGCTCAAGACCAGTTGATAGTGGCACGACATGCGCTGAAGCTGCCGGCATACGCGCAACGGCACGTCAGCACGTGGTCCGGAATCCGACCAAGCCTGCAAAATCCTCCAAAGACTCGATGGGCGTAGAAAGCACAAGACACGACTGGAAGGATGTTGATTAAGGTTGGTGCGCACATGCTTTGTGATTGGATGACCCAAACTTCCAGCAAGCGGCTACAGTAGCCGGATTCGACCGGTAAGGTGGTAGATACGAGGCAGCAGGCACGGCATCCTGAAGCCGGGCTGTGCGCACTACATTGCACAACAGTCACTTTTCTCTACCACGAGGTTGTTGTAGCCAAGTCCACAGCGAAGATCTCAAGACTCTGCTTCTTCTCGGGTGCCATCTGCTTTGGTTTATTGTGACTTATGCCCGCTTACTTGTGCAGTTTCAACAGCATGAGACAAGCAAGGATGGACATGTTGAAGATGTTGGTGAAGGCCAGCTTCGGAGTGACGAAACTCGCCGATGTCGTCGAACCAGCCCGCGGGGAGGTCCTTTTCATCGTGCATTGGTTGGCATGCTTGACGTCCGGAACCCAGCCGCAACCCACCCTTTGCGACTAGGCTTTACGCAGTTGTTTTTGTCTGAGGTTCCTCGTCGCATCACCTGTCTGCGCGGACGGCACAGCGATGCCCTGCCCACCGCCAGAGGGCCCGAACGACGACACCAGGCAGTGGGATGGACAGCTTTCCAAAGATTGCCGAGCATTTGTTGGGTGCAGGTTCTGGTCAAACTGGGTGCGAATGTTCCAAGTGGACAAATTTGACCTGGCGTGTGGGCCTCAGGACGTGAGACTGAAGGGCCGACCACTCGCCTTCTCCAGCTGAGGGCCCGCTACTTGAGCACCTTTCACTTCATCACAGCGACACTCATGGCCTGAACCTTATACTTACTTGTAGGTGGGTATAGATTCTCTATTCGTGGTCTTGTCCCGGCAAAGGCTGTTGGATATGGGGACATCTTCCCAGCTAACTCCTTCGAGCGCATCGTGTGCCCTGCAACGGTTTTGGGTTCGAGAGCCTCGTCGGAAGTCCCTCCTTTTCGAAGGTGCATTGTGTCTCAGATCACGGGTGCAGTGCTGTTCGGCTGCGGACCCAGATCTGTCACCAACACTGCATCTCATGAGACGGCATCAGTGTCTGCAGCTGTCTTTGTGCTGCACGTTTGCATGCGCGCTTGAGCCACGAGGCTTTCTCCTCTCCTGCATCACCGCAGTCCTCGAGTTCACACACCCACGCGAGCTGGAGCACAAGAAGCGGATGTCCGAGATTAAGGACCCGATGTCTGAGCAAATCGCCGCTGGTCAGCTTTCTCCTCTTGCAGAACTGGCTTCGGAATCGAAGCTTGCCGCAGCCCTTGAAGACGCAGGCAGACAGGGGGCCATAAGGGATTTGTCTGACATAGGTGGATCCGGATGTTAAGGCACCCCGTTTACTTCCTTAAACCTGTTTCAGGAAGCGGGCCGTGCAAGCGTGCATGCATGGCGGCGCATGTTCGCTTGTGTGAGACGTCTAACTGCTGGGGTCTCGTCCGCAGTCCTTCTGACGGTTGCCGCGTGACAGCACTGTATCACTGTATCAAGTTGCCGCGCAGCTGTCTTGTGCTGCGATTGAGGTCGCAAGGACGATCCCCCATGCCCACAATTTGTGTCATGGGTCCATCAACACAGAGACGACTGTTAATGGAGGGTGCAAGAAGGCCCATGCATCTGACTTTTCATGATTTGCAATTTACATAGTCAGGGTGGAGACAAGACATCCACACGCTTTTCAAGTTCCGGCAGTGCTGTTCAGCTATTCGTTGTGGATGTGCCTTCCTCACGTCCTTTGACCTCCGTGCACATTCGGCTGAGCCGTGCTGCGCTGCGTCGGGTCGGGGGCGGTAAAGCAGAAGGACGCTGTCTTTTGGCGGCCCAGCGACCGCTCTTGGCCGGTCCTTGCTCCCACAGCTGCCACAGCCTCGCCTATGTCAGGTCTGGTCGCACTTTTGCTACGTTACTGCTCAGCGGTCAGCCTTTAAGGCAGGGCCGCACCTAGCGCAGCGATGGTTCCAGGGACGATCTCGTCCTTGCAAGAGGATGAGCACGCGATGCTGCTGTCCCTGCCGACGCACCTGCGCAGCCAGCTGGCCGGGTGCCCGAAGTGTGGCGCATGGCCGTGCATGCCCGTGGAGTGTCCCATGAGGTCGAATCCTCGCAAAAGATGTACTTCCAGGCCATTCAGGCGGCGACAGTGAGGGGGGGGGAAGGGGACGGGACAGGTGGGCGACGGGGGCTGGGCAATGTGTGAGTTTCGGTACCCTGGAGCTTCGGAAGGGTCGTAGGGTACGCGTTCTTGTACCGCATCGAGGCCACAAGGGCAAAGCACCAAGCTGACTTCCTGTGCATGCAGATTCTACCCTGCCCCATGTGCGGTCTTGAGATGTCTTGAGTCTTGATGACCCCTGCATGTGGTATGACACATGGGATCAAGTCCCAGCGTAAAAGCGTGCTCAGGGTTGACTGAACGGTAAGGCCCGGCTTTCAGGTTATCAGCCTTAGCCATAGCATTCGTAGCTAGCTCGCAATGGCCCGTGAACTAGTTCCTGCGTTGCTGGTAGTCTCTGGTGTCCTTGTGGTCTCTTGCTGGTCTCCTGCTTAATTGTTTCCTGGTGGTCGTTGTCGTCCTGCTCCTCGTCCTGGTCGTTCCAGTCCTGATGTTTTCTGTATGCGTGGTGCTCGTTGTGGTTGGTCTTCTGAAAATCTCGTGGTGTTCCCTGTCGGTGATTTTTGGTGGTCTCCTGGTGGTCTCTTGGTGGTCGGTCGGTGGTCTGCTGGTGTCGTGGTCTTTTAGTCGTCTCTTGCTGGTGTCCTGGTGCTCTCTGTGTATGGTGGCGGAATGCGACTGAGCAGCCGAGGTGCCAGTGGCTAAGCCCCGGAAACTTCAGTGTCTTCCCGAGGCCTCTTTGGGAAATTTCGAGAAGGGGCTGGTGGCCGAGCTGGCCGTCCAGGTGATGCCAATGCAGGCCCTCCAGCACCGCTTCTGCGCGTGCATGCAAGAGCTCCTGACCTCTAGCAGATGATGGCAGGTGCCATACCACATGTGCATCCTGGAGGTGCAGTGCATTGCAGTGCAATGTCAGAGGTTCACTTTCGCAAGCCTGGCCTGCTGCAGACGGGGGAACTTACCACCGAGCTCTATGTGGTTGTGACTGGCCGGGTGGAGGCGGTTCTTGTGGAGGCGCGCGTTTGTGCTTAGCCCAGGGCGAAGCTTCCTTCGAGCCGCGACGCATCGCAACGCCGCACCTTGGGCGGAGGAACGCCACAACGAGAACCCGGAGCAGCTGGAGGCCTTTTTTGGGGTTCGTCTGCCGTCCGTCTCGCGGGGGGTTTGGACGCGTGTTCGACGCTTTCGCGTCTTTCAGGCCTTCCTGAAGCTTTGCTTGGCCAGCAGTGATCCACGGAGGCCAGAGGTACAACACAACAGCCCAAAACTGGGTTGATCATGTCCGCAGAGGAACGGTGGCGGCGTGGCCCGTGAGGCGCGCGCATCTGTTTGGGTGTGAAAGATTCGGGCCGAGCTGTGCTGGAGCAGTACTTAGCACTTCTAGCTTTCAGTCATGCAGCTGAACGCGCAGCCCCTTTTCGCAGGACCTCTTCGACGAACCGTCCGGAAATAGCCTGCCGGATGCTTCTGCAGATGGAGAAGAGGCCTGCGGATTCGTGTCGGGCTTGCAGATGTTTGCAGTGCCGAAGGTCGGGCTTAGTGCGCGGGTATCGAGTTAGTGCTGGGTCTGCGAGGCGCGCCCCCGTGCTGAGCGAACACGCCGAAGGCAAGCCACCCCCACAAGGCAGGACTGGGTAGATTTTGACGAGCAGGCCTGAACACGCGAAGGAACCTTCACAAACTGAAGCATGGTAGATACAACAAGTTGTTGCGAGAAGCAGACTCTGCCCCAGGATATCCGAGTGCGCAACTCCCTGCCGATACTGTGTGCTTTAAGCGTGTGTTCAATGACCGTGGCCCGCGTGTCTGTGCCCAACATTGCCCAACAGACGCTCTGCAGGGGATTGATCCAGCGGGCGAGGTCCTTCCTCACCGAGGTGCGGAGCTCTCCCCGCCTAAACGGCCCTAAACCCTGGAAAATTCTCCGATTCTCGGGGCTCTCAGCAAAAGAGTGCGCCCGCTCTCTCTTTGCGGCACCCACAGGGCGTGGGCTTTGCAGCGCCAGCGCCCTCCGAGGACGCAGGGCCCCTCTTCTCGTGGCTCTCTTGTGCGCTGCGCTGCGCCGTGAAGCCCGTGGTCTCACATCTGACGGGGAGGGGTGGGAATTTCGCCATGGCCAGGACATCATCCAAATTCTCTGTGGCATCTATGGAGAACTGGAGGCAGGTTGAGGCAATGAGGCAACGAGGCGAACTTGAAGCCAGTCCTGGCCTGCTGGGCGGCTTTCCGACAGCAAAAAAAGCAGGAGGCGCAGAATCTCGTGCGGTGTCGTTGTCCAGGCTTTCGGCCACTGCGCTGTGGCACCGCTTCGCTTCCGAGGCGGGAGCCACGCCTTTTTTTGCGTTGGGGTTGTGAAAGTCAGAAAGTGCGGTTTGCAGGTGGATGTTACCAATCCGAGATCTTCTCCATCAGCCAGGTGGGCTCTGTCGTGCTCTGTCTAAGCCAGATGGGCTGCATTTTCATGTGTGCAAAGTGGGCTGTGGACCGAATCAGGATATCCTGGACAGGGCCATGTCCGCCTACCCCGGCCGGCAGCAAGAGTTCGAGGTGAGGGCTTTTGGGGAAAATCACCAAGATGTTATCCCCTTCCTCTCCTTTGTGTTGTGCGCCTGTCTGGCAGCAGGTCCAGTGCCGCTCGGCCACGAAGGACGACTGCGATCGCTGAAGCCCGAAAGTGTTTAAAGCCTAAAGGAGAGCTTGGCGATGTTTTTGGGAGTCTCGCCTGAAGCCTCGAAAAGAGGGCCTGGCGGGAAGCGCCCTCGGGCCACGTTCAGCAGGAGCTGGCCAGGGCCATGCTGTCGGCCGAGTGGTCCGGGCAGCTGCCACAGTGCGCACAGGCCCTTCCGGTCGGTGCAATGTTTAAGTCGGCAAGATATGACAGTGCTGACAGGTGATAGGACCGATAGGAGTAGACATGTCTTCCGCCACCAAGCACCAAAAGCACCCATTCTCCTGCTGCCCAGCCGACGCAGCGCCTCAAAGGGCTGGTGGCACGGGTCTTGGCAACTCCGGCAGTGTGCACTGCGGCGCTTTCAGAGTTCGAGACTTCGAATGCTATACAAGTTACGAGAATTGCTCCCAGGATCGGCTTTGGGGGGTTCAGGTTGCAACACCTAATGATGTGAAGCCGTCCTCTCCTCCTGACTTCTTTGTTCCAGCTTGCACCGCCGATCTCAAGAATATCATCTGTACAGGACAGTCCACCGAACAGCATGAGTGTGAGGTCTACCGCACGAAGGCCACAGACGTGCGCCAGCTGCCAGCCGACGTGGGGGGCCCAGGGTGGAGGTTTGCTGAAGCATTTTCGCTTTGTCGCCCACTCGATGATGTCAGCAAGATGAACTAAAACCAGAGATCAGTCCTCTAAGGTCCTTGAGGAGGCGGACGAAGCTGGATTTGCACAGGCAGGCCGAGAGGATTCAGAGTAGGATTCCTCGACAAAGCATGGATCTTTCAGAGGAAGTCACATGTTTGTATCGATGCTGGGGATGCTGTGTGACCTCACATGCTTGTCATCTTGCATTCAACTTCCACTGCCACGACGCGCGATGACTCACGTCAGCCAGGCCTCAGCCGTCAGCTCAGCCCGCCAGAGACACGAGGGCACTGGAGTCCTGGAGGCTGCAGACTCTGGCCATGTCTTGCTCAGGAAGCTGTGCGATGTGTTTCCTCCAAGCGACTGGACAAGGGGGGCAAGGCGGGGACGAAGGGTGACGTGTCCGATGGAAAGTCAACCTGCATCTCTCCGGATTTCAAAGTCTACGCTTCGACTGCGGGACTCTGTGTCTGTCAGCCGAGAGATGCGTTTTAGGCGCAAACCGTCTTGTTTTTTTTTTGCGGCAGAAGCTGGGAAGCAGTTTGCAGGTGGTGACGGAGGTCGAACCCGTTCAGGATCCAAGTTGTCGGCACCAAGCTGCGCACATCCTCAGGCAAAGACTTTAAGCTTGCACTCGCCTGATTTTCTGTCTGTCGCAAGGACATCATCCGGCTCCGAGCTCAGTGACTGCCTGCAGCAGCGAATCGATGCTAATCGGTTTCGTCTTGACAATGTTCCAAGTATTTCAAGGGTACCTGTCACTTGACCGGACAGCTGAAAGCAGCAAGCTGTATGGGAGCCTCGAGACCATGGTTCCAGATAGTGGCAGATATTGCATGACATTCACCAGCGGGGCGAAACCAAAGCAGCAACCACAGGGACACCACCTCCACAAGCACAGAACAGGGTGGGCGGGAGCGAAGCTCACCACCAGGGGGACAGGAATTGGGTGGTGTTCATGGGAGGGTGGAGAAGTTCAGCCGTTCCATGGGTTGACAGGATAGCCTCACGGTGAGCGAGAGCCGTGGATGGCTTGCACAGGTCGGCAGGCAATCGATTTCAGGTCCTCCAAGAAGACCGGGCATGCCCGGAGGATCCACATGGCTCGTCATTACCATCTTTTGCAAAATTATGCTTCTCACCTGTCAAAGTAACAGCCCCGTGTCTCGAAGGTAGCCCCCACATCTCTCGTTCGCAGACTTCGCCCGCTGTTGTGTGGGGGCCACCTTGGCCTTTCAGATCCTTCGGGTACCTGGGATCACCTGAAGTCCCGAGCAGAGCTCCAAACTCGAGGCGATGGGTGATCCCACACAACGACTCTCGAAAGATCATGCCCGGAGCTCGTGAGCTTCTTTGGGCAGGTTTCAGAGTCTGCCCAGTTAGTGCAGACGGATGTGCCGCTCTTGTAAACCCAGCTGAGCTGTGGGCAGCATGTGCACATGTTGGTCCAATATGTTAGTAAGAAAAGGAAAAGTGTACAACAGACAAATTTGACTTCAGATGTGTAGGGGGCAGCCGGGCCTTTAAGAATCCTCTCGATCCTCCGCTGCTGGAATGGTCGCCTTCCCGCCGGCCAGCCGTGCGGAGCGCCTTCGGAAGCGGCAACAAGCGGAGAGGCGCCCGCCCAAAGAGCTCGGCGGGTCTCACCGAATCATGGTTTGAAATCCTCAAAGTCAGAGTTCAATGTTCTTCAAAGTGGGGGCACGGCAGTAGAGCAAGACGTCCTCGCAAGAATGAAACCGGCCCGGATGAGCTGCGCTAGCGAGAACAAACCTGTCCCAGAGCTGTTCAGGGTACTGCGTCAGGCTTGCTCTGGCTTCCGCGGGCGCTGAACCGAAGCGGGCGAAGGCAGCGGAAAGTGTGCCAGACGAGTTCATGGTGCTTTGCTGTCCTCGGGGTGCTCCTGACTCGTTTTTCCAGGTGGAACAACCTTCAGCAGATCCTGCTGAAGCTTTTGGGGAGGAGGAGGAGGAGGAGGAGGAAGTAGAGGTGCACTTGGGGAGCAGCGGTACTCGTAGCAACTACAGCAATTCTCAACAGTCTGTGGTGACGCTCATGAGTATTTCGGCAGCCAGGTTCAAGATTATGGTAATTACTTGCAGTAGCAGCGATGCATGTATATGTTGTGTTGAGCATTGCATGAACCAACAGGAACTTCGAAGTGTTTTTTGTCCTTCAAGGTGCAGTCAGGGCATGGGTCAGGGCCAACGGAGGCAGAGGAGACGGGCCACCAAGGGTTTCATGCTTCGAGCGTTTCGATCCTTGGAAGTGCAGGAGGGCACTGCCTCAACCTTCCTGGCCGCAGTCAAGGCTCGGCTGACGCAGTGGGGCAAGGCCAGGCTACGCTGCTTTGCCGGTTCATGCGGTGCCACAGCCAGAAACGTATGCAGGTCGCTGAGTACCACAAGTTCGTTCTGGCCTTGTCCGGATGCGTGGATGTGAAGACGCCCGGCTGAGATAGGAGGCTCCCAAAACATGTGGATTCTTGCGCCAGTTCCAGGCTTGCCATGATCCCCTCTTCGCTCCGCTTCAGCTCTGGTAGATCCTCTCAACAGGGACGAGGGAAGGTGTGCTCGTTGCATTGAAGGGCAGCTCTCAAGATCCTCCGTGGTCACGATGACCTCATTGCCGTGTTCCAACGCAAGGCTACTTTTGGGCTCTGTGCTAGGCCTGCTAGGCCCTAGGCCCTGGCGATGCAGAGAGCGTCGGTGATCCCTGGCAGTTCGCTCCGGATGCCGACCTCTCGGCAGTGAAGGCGGAGATCAAGGAGCCATACCTCTGTTGCTACGGCGTTACGGAGTGGGAGAAGAGCTCGGGAGCACATGGAGTTAGTGCTTTGTCCGCGAGAGCTTGTGCAGGAGGAGGATGAGCCTCGACCTCCACCATTTCCGCCCGCCCGTGCCAAGGCACGCGGCACCCGGTGCCATTTCAAAGTGCTCTTGAGCCCGAGCTTGGAGTGGTGAGCTTGTGGAAACGTCAGGTGGAACTTCAGGCAGAACCCGTGGTAGACTCCACAGGCGATGGTCCAGAGGGGTAGTTGCAGCTCTGGGATCGGGCACGTCTTGGTGAACTTTCATTTTAAGTAGTCAGAGGGTCCCGGATGCAACATCATGCAACATGCTGGCTTTCATCATTCGCTTGGACGTCGGACAAGTGTATTCATGACAAGTTAGAGCTGCAATATCTTCGAGGCTGTCTGTTTAGGATCTTTTGCGTGGATTTCGTCCCAAAGCACCTTGGCTTGCACCGGCCACACTGATGCCTGGTGGCCTTTTGTCTTGCAATGACCCTTGGCCCAGCGCTTGGATGCTTTCCGCCCACAACCTATCATCAGCCATACTCCCAAACTTTAACTCGAAAAGAGGCTTTGCCTCATGTCTTTTGCATGACCAAATCACGACCGAAGATAACTTTTCAGAGCCCCACACTGAAAAGCAACCTGAAACATCTCATCAAGGCACCGCTGCCGTCGCAGGTCCAAGCGCTGGGCCAAGGGTCATTGCAAGACAAAAGGCCACCAGGCATCAGTGTGGCCGGTGCAAGCCAAGGTGCTTTGGGACGAAATCCACGCAAAAGATCCTAAACAGACAGCCTCGAAGATATTGCAGCTCTAACTTGTCATGAATACACTTGTCCGACGTCCAAGCGAATGATGAAAGCCAGCATGTTGCATGATGTTGCATCCGGGACCCTCAATCTGAGCCTTTAACCCGGCTTCGAACTCATGTGACTACATAAAATGAAAGTTCATCTAGGCCTTGCGGGGTCCTTTCAGGCGTGAAGGCCGAGGACGACGACACGCCGCGGCCACCGCGCTTCGCCCCGCTCGAGCGAAGGCAGGTCGGGCAGCTCTTCCTTTCTCTCAGTCTTCTGCCTCGCAGACCGCCGCCTCGGGTCGGCGACGACAGTGACGAGGCTGACCGCACGAACCCTCTTCTCTCGCCGTTTCCCCCCTCGCTGCAGGAGCACTTCGACGAAACAGCGGTGGCTACCGCAGCTTCGCAGGGCCCTCGAGCCTGTGTTGAGGAACTGGCAGCTCGCCTACCCAGTCGAGACGAATGCTTTCGACTCAGCCGCTGGAAAAGCGAGCGCTCCAAGCTTAGCCAAGGCTCGGCTGCTGTTCAGCCGCGGGCGGAAGGCAGGCGACCAGACCGCCCAACGGGTGCAGATGCAGCGCGCCTCCGCTGCAGCTGTGGCCGGTTTGGCTTGTATGAAACTCATGGCCTCAAGCCCCAAAGCTCTGATCAGTTTCGGCGGTGGTTGCTGTGGCGTCAGTGAAGAGAGTTGTGCAGACCCACTGCTGGCCAAGTGACGCTTAGGAAGGAGATGAGACTGAATAGTTATGCGGTCACACGTCAAGCTCGGCTCACGTGCAAAAGCCGAAAACTGTAGTTTGTGTCGGCCGTGTTTCTGCTGTGACATCCAGCACTTGCACTCCGTTTCAGAAAGCTGTGCAGACGCACTCGACGCAGGCGCCAAACTTGATATTATCTGCTACACAGCGTGAGAGCCCAATCACATCCGGCCAAGCCACTGTGCACCAAGATCAGTCCAGGATATGCAGAGAAAGTCTCTGCACGGCCTCGGTTCCCGCGAGAACTCTACGTCTTGCGTGGGCTCCCAGGACCCTCGGCTGCCAATGTTTTCATTCGGCGCTGGTTTGTGGATCGCGCGATTGGACGTTCTGCACTGATCCTTGAGGCCTTGGGGTACATGGCAGTACATGGTGTCTTCAGCCCACGTAAGTGCCCGCAACACGATGCCCCAAGCTCCGAGGAGCCTCGGGACACATGAAAGGTTCGTAAGCCGCTCGAAAACTCGGGCATGTCGCACGTGGATGTGTTCGTTCCTAATTAAGCCACCTGTCATTGAGACGCCAAGAGATTTGTTGCACCATATGTCCCAGGCCCAGAAACACAGGTCTCAGATCAGTGCTGACATGAATATGGATAGCAACCGATGTACCCGCAAACACCTCAACGTGTTTATGGCTGAATGGATTCCCATCTTTATGTCTCCAGACCAGCTCCATCTTCTTACTTGACCCACGGGGATTCAAGCACATGTACAACTAGGACAAACATAAACAAACAGAGTTGTGCAAATTAGAACAAGTGTGCCTTGCCAGGGACTGCACATGAGGGGGGCAATCGCTCCTGAAACTATCGCTGTTTCGATTTGTAGCTATGCTTTGGGACCGCTTTTCCATCACACCCCATCTATGGGGAGCACATGCTGACGAAGTGGTTTGCACAGGCTCCTTGTTGCCGTTTTTTTTTTATATCTGAGGTATTGGGAAAACAGAGTATGCGATGGAACGGCTGCTTCCCGGCTATCTGCATACACGACATGGTTCGTGGATCGCAGCACGCAGTTGTTTGACGTGGCAAAAGTTTTCAGATGCTTTCAGGCTCGAGATGAGGCCGCTGGATCGCGGCGAGGTCTGCACCGAACGTTGCCACATGCCTCAGGAAATTGTCCATGTTCGCACATTGCTAGGAGCAGTCTGCGCGTCTCACCCACGTCTGTTCGGTGGACGACTTCCTGGAATCCTTTCGAGGCACGCTCCCTCTCCCGCGAGGACCGGCCGAGTCGAACCCAGAACAGCCTGAGTCAGGAAAACTTTGAGAGCCCAGATACGGAAACCTACAGATGCGGGCCACCAAACCGTCAGTTCAGGGTCCAGGGCTTCGGTTGGGATTTACAGTTCTGGCTGTTTAGAGGGCTCTTTGCCTCCAAGCGCTGCTGTCTTCCAGAACTGTTCTACCGTTTTCTGCCACAGATTTCGCGGCGTCGAGGTGAGCCCTTCAAGCTGGAGGCAGCGCACCGGCGGAACGAGGCCTCTGCTGGACAGGGTTCGAAGATGCTCGAAGCAAAGTGACTGCCCGGACATGAAGGCCCGTGCCTTGCTGGTGATGGAAGCTGGGATTCACCCGGTCTTCATCGAAGCCTGGCAAGAGGGCCATGCACGTGCAATGCACAGCCTGAGTGCTGCTGGATGCTCCTGAGCCCAGGACTCGTCGAACCTCCGTCTTTGGGAGATGCGGCCGCGCCTGGGATCCGCTCAGGATTGTTTGTGCAGCCTCTGTGCTTGAGTCATCCAAGAAATGCGCGCACTCTTGCCCTTACCAAGGTACGTGCTGCTCGCAGAGCGTCTCGGTTACGTGGTGAACGTCGTGGAGCCGTGGGAGATTTGCGCAAAGTGGCATGTCTGGAAAATAAGCAGAAACACTATTTTGTCATCGGCTTTTGGAAGGAAAGGCACATTGACAACGAATCTAGGCTGAGACTAGAATCATCTTCGACTCACCAAGAATGTTCTTGAACATCTGGTTGCTCATGGTTCATAATGTGCATGCAAAGTTCACCATTTCGTCGCTTACCACGAGTCCTGGCATGCAGCGATATAACTTCTCCGACAATCACGTGACGTAGCGCTGGGTGGGATGCCAAGTAACGCAATGGCAGCATCCAGGTATCGCGATCTTAGCTTCCTTGCCGTGATGCTCGACACTGCCGAGCGCCGACGAAGAGGACGAGTGCTTCCACGACAGGCTGAGAGAGCAAAGTGCATCAGAAACAAGCCTCGATTCAGCCTCCCAGCCAGGCGCTACTGGCGCTCTTGAAGGCCTTCGAGACTCTTCCAGACTCGGAGGCCGCCGAGAGAGAGCCGAAGGACCGTGGAGTTTCTGGCGCCTCGGAGGCCGTGCGGCGTGCTCCTCGGCGTGGTGCCCGACACGACCTCCTCGCATCGAGGCTTGGGGCTCGAGCGAACGTATGGAGGCAGACTGTAGCTGCTGCCTGTTTTTGCCAGTTTCATCAGGTGAAAAAGATTTGGGTCTGCGCGCGGGTGTGCCGCCGGCCGCTTCAGGTGATGCCGGTGGAAAAAGAATGAAAAAGGAATTCGCACGTTTGTAGGGCCAGTCTCGTGCGTGCTCACACAGTGTACCATTGCTTTGCCGCATTGCCGAGATGGGACCTCTGGATTGGTGGGCTGATCATATACTCTGCCAGGGCCTGTGTACGTAGAAGAAGGGCCAGAGCAGTGTTGAAGTGATCCAGATTCTGCCAATCTGCTTGACACCACTGGACTGGCTTACACGCTTCTGCTTTTCGTGCAGAGCAAGGTGATTGCCATCACCTTTTCGGTGTCTTTCCATACGACACCTGCAGCTTGGCGACACCGTTCACCAGCGCAGTCCGTTAGCTAGCAGAGTGTCTATCAAGCAGATGGGAGTCTTTCCATGTGCCCTGTAATGGCATTCCCCCATACAGTAGTTAGCACATTGAGACTTGATTAAGGGATCCTTCTTCATCGTTGTGGATGCCGCAGCCTCAGTTCCAGGTGACGATGCCACGTGCAGTGCCCTTGGAGGCCAACGGAATCAAGGCCAACGAATGCTCACCGGGAGATCAGCATGAAGCTTCTAAGGTCATCGTGGACGTCTTCTTTGGACTGGACATGATTCTGAGTGCTGGTCTCAAACACGCGCCTGCCTGTTCTCGCAGCGCGAAAGGATTCGGATTGGGACCCTGAGGTTGTCGAACGGCTTTTGTGGACTCCAATGGTCTCGTGAACACAGTTCCCTACGACATTTACAGGCCTTGTGCGGATGTGCCTGGCCCTTTTCCTTGCCAATGTTGCAAGTCCATTTCATGCAGGCACTATCTGAAGGGCCAATTCTTGGTGGATTTCCTCTCCACTGTTCCGATTGATCGCATCGTTGAGGCAGGGACGGTCTGAAGGGCACTGGTGCCTCGCGCGTTGCGACACGCTGCCCTTGATAGTCCAGAGGACATGCATGAACCATCATGAACCGCTTGGACGAATTGAGGCCTTCTTGGCTGATGCATCGAACTACGGACGGATGCTGAAGTGCTGCGGCATGATTCGAACCGACATCACCTCACACAAGTATAGCAGGATTGCTGACAACTCGAAAGCTTGGAACTCGTTGCTTGCATCATTACGCCCAGCATGTCACTTGGTGCCCCAGGGGCAAGAGGGAAGGCTCGTGGCTGGAACTGGGCTTTAGTTGTCCGGCCAGGCTGACTCGGTTTGCAAGGATCTTCCGCTTGATGAAGCCGGGGACCCAATCTGTAAATCCCTTCGCGATGAGAGCACCTGCGGCACAGCGCACAGCCCAGGTTGGCACGGATGCTGAAGCTCTTCCGCTTGGTTCACTCAGCTGAGCCATTACCTGAGGTCTAGGCTAGGGCTGCAACTTTTGAAGGATTTTCCTTGCTGGTTCCACCGTGTTCCACGGTCCCACCCGAGGTCTTCCGTCCAAGTGTCACCGCTGTTTCTGCGCTTGGGCCTGCTGTGGCAGCCTCAGACGGGGGCAAAGGCCGGTCTGCCAGGAGCCAGATCTCCTCTGCTCTAGAGAAGCTCATTTCAGGCGAGTCCGGCCAGGATGTTGGCATGCGAAGTTTCGCTGTCTGGATGTCTTCACAAGTTCCATCGAGCATGCGGGTGACCTGAAGTCTCGCCCACTGAAACTCGCATCAGGTTCATGAACGTCTGCTTCTTGGCCCACGTGGTTGCATGCATGTGGCATTGGCTGGCCACCCTACCCCTCGATCCACAGGCGCGATTCTGGAGCTTTTGAACTTCTGCCTGATGATTGAGTGATTGTAATTGTGGGACACCCGGGAACCAGCGAGCCCTCGAATCCAACCCAGATGGACTGACCGAGCCCTCAGAGCGGAATCAAGCGACGCGGTTGCCAGGGCTGCGTCTCCGGACGGCTGGAGTGCTTCGGCGACGACAACATTGAGGACCTCTGTGCACAGTGGACGCGCTCTGGCTCTGGATGCTTGTTTTCAGAAAGTCTTCGAAGTCTTCGAATTTTCCAAATCATGCCCTCGAAGCGAAAAAAGAGCGGTGCAGTCCAGCCTGCTGGCCACCTTGTAGTTAGTCTCGTAATGCAACACCTGTACCTGCTCTGGCATACTGTCATCCATCTTGTCCGTGATGATGATCGAGTGGATTCACAGATTTTTTCGGCAGTGAAGATGTCTGAATGTTGCTACGTCGTACTGCGAGTTTTTATTGAACAATGCTCGCGATAGATACTCTGCTTCTTGATCTTATCTTCCTTGGCTTTACCTTCTGCGCAAGTGGGCCCTGTTGGGAAACGATTTTCACGGGAGCCTGACGGACAACGGGCTAGCCGTGCCTATTCACACAGCGGGCCGGGCATTACGTAACAACCGCAGTCACGTGTCTTTGTCCTGCTTCAAGCGTTTGTTCACGTGGCCTTTCCTTTCACTGAAACATGTATCAAAAAGCCAAAGCCTCAAGTTCGCACTCGCAAGGACGGCTCGGCGACGTGGCTCCAGGGTTCCGGGTCAGCAGCCCAGGGTGTGTGCACCGCAACCGAGACCGGTAAAGGATCGGTCGAGGGGTCGGATGCAACCTATGGTACAGGAAGAGCTTGCCTCGTGCTTGAAGAACCCCTTTTCTTCAGGAGACCATCTCTCGCAGCGGCAAAACGGCATTTCTAAACTCTACGTCCAATCATGTGGTATATGTGGTCTATATTGATGAACCACTGTCTCAGCTTGCATTGCCTCCTGCCCAGGGGTTCCCAAGACACCGATACAAACGCGAAGAAGTATGTGGCAGCCTTATACTGGGCCGGGACCGCAGCTGAGGGCTTGACGGACGCGGCTCAAACATGGCATAACGTGATGCACGATTGCAGCTGAGGTCTTTACCACCATGACCACTGTGGGCTATGGCTCCCTGGCCTGCACTAGTCGCCCGGAATTTGATCGGGATCCATAAGACGCGGAGATCATCGGGAGCCTTGTAGGCGACATCTTTCCCATGAACAACATCGAGCGCGTCTTTGCAGCCTGCAGCCGAGAGATTAGAAGTCCGTGCAGGTACCAGGCTTGACTGCACAAAATATCGCCCGGTGCCTTCAGGTCGGTGTGATGATCTTCGGAGCTACGGTGTTTGGTGGCCTCCTCAGTGTCGGAGGGCCGCCCAGTGGTCGAGAAGGGGGCGAGAGTGCGCTCCCCTCCGCCCCTCTGCTCTTATCTGCTCTTCTGGCGTCCAAGTAGGTGTCCTGGCATTCCGCGTTCCTCTCTCTGTGTGTGTGTGTGAAACTCCTGTCTCTAAGGATTTAGGA